ATGCCACATACACCTGAGGATACGAGAACTAGAAGATTGTGATGCTAATGTTTTTATTGCTCTTTACCAATCCATTTTGGGAGAAAAGGTACCAGGTAAGGGTACTAAAAAGTGGGAGTAATAGTGACTATATTTTAGGCCAGTAGTTTTGAGAGCCTTCAGTTAGATCCTATGAGATTTGTAAAATCTTGACTTTTTGTTTGTATCTTATTTCTAACTATTGCATTCATTACCTTAATAAGTACTTTAGTGAGACCCACACATAGTAACAGCCTTGGTGATTTCTGTTTAATTATGCCTAATATCTCATGAAAGTTACACCTTTTCTGTAAATGTATCTTCAAAGGTTCTAAAATTGAGTGGAACTTGGAAACTTGTTGGGTCTTGTTACTTAACCAGTATTACAGATACGAGTTGATGTTTGTCCTGCATCCCTGGTTAAGTATCTCAGAGTCCTTATCCATAGATTCCTCTGCTGTCTCTGTTTGTGTAGCTTACAACCATTAAGTACTAAAACTGTGTGTAGTCTGTGTTCCTTTCCCATTTTTACCATGACTTGGTGCCTTCATCACTTGAAATAATGGAGATGGCCTCTAGCTGGTTATCTTTGATGCTAGTCTTAACCTTTTGAGTGCAGAGGCATATAGTTATCCGATCAGTCTTTTAAAATACTTTTTTCATCCTTCTCCAAAACATTCATCTTCCTCAATACCAGCGGAGAAATCCCAGATATAAGTTGATGTTAATATCTCTCCTCAGTCTGGTCTATACTGACCTTTTAAATCATTATGCCGGGGGCACCTGGGTGGCTCAGTCGTTAAGCATCTGCCTTCCGCTCAGGTCGTGATCCCAGAGCCCCATATCGGGCTCCCTGCTCGGCGGGAGGCCTGCTTCTCCCTCTCCCACTCCCCCCGCTTGTGTTCCCTCTCTGTGTCTCTCTCTCTCAAATAAATAAAAATCTTAAAAAATAAATAAATAAATCATTATGCCAATAATTCCTACTAGGGTGCTTTAACAAGACTTACGAGAACTCTACTTTCATACCTGTTGTGGAGTTTTTTTCTCTTATGGAAAGAAGCCCACGATTATGGGTTAAAGTCTCACTTCATGTATTGTTTCCCTTATTAGAGTATTAGCATCTCCTTGAATTTATCTTTATCTTTTTGTAGTATGGTGCTTATTGTAGAGCATGTTCATATATATGTTAATTGACTAAGTATTCAACTAATAAAGGTGCTATGTAGAAATCAGGCTCTGTTAGCTTTATCTGTACTTTATAAAAGCCTGTTCTCTTTGGGTGGAGCTTGCTTTTGTAGCAGTTAACTTCACTTAGAAGCCTGGTCAGAGACCATGACAACCTGGACCCTCAGATGAAAAATTATGTAGCTTTTTTTCCACAGACCTCATAGCTATTCCCAGGAGTCAAGAGGATGAAGCTCACAATGTACAAGCAGTAATTGATTCACTGGCCTTGGATTA